ACATACATTTTAAGCTAAAAATCTAAAACAAGAACAAAAAATTTAGATAGCAAAAACGTAATGTTTCTAACCAAAAATATTTGATAAGAATCCATGGGTAAAAGTATATTTTAGGGTACCCCCTTGGCGAAACTTGGCGATTTTTGGCGGTACATGGATACCGAGTTTGTGCAATGCTTCGACTTGTTATTTTGGCCTATGTAGTGGCGATTTTTGGCGAAAAAATTGCCGCTACGCAAGCCAAAATAACAAGTGCACAAACTCGGTATCCATGTACTCATCAACCTATTTCCACTTAAAAAAAATCTCCAACTTGCACAAAAATAACATTGTGCACTCCCTTGACTTTATCCATGTACACATCGACCTATTTTCACTTAAAAAAATACCCGAATTCCACAAACTATGCTTTACACACTCTTTTGAGTTTGTCCATGTACACATCGATATATTTTCACTTAAAAAGTCAAAGGAGCACCCAATTCTACAGTAGAGGCAAACAAAAAATACATAATCTCAATAAGCTACATTTTAAACCAAAGAATAAAATAACACAAAAAAGGAAAAACCTGTTATGTATTTTAGCACTACACAAAGCATAAATCCCCTTACCTTATTTAGAAATTCGTTCATCTTCAGTCTGTGGCACACAAAATTCCTTAACAGCATCCAAAAACTTCCTAAAATTATCTGAACTACAATCCGTATATCTGTGTCGCCACAGAAATTAACAAAAATAAGAGTAAAAAATATACTACGTAGTTCCGGACTATGGCTACTAAGTAAACCTTCATTTACACAATTCTTTTCCCCTTTCATCCCAAATCGTACAGAAACTTCAAATTAATTCTACTACATTCAGCCATTGTACTGTCTAAACAATGAAACAAGCAATGTACTTCCTAAGCAACACACACCACAAAAGCCTTTGCAAAACATCCCATGATTCAAAATTTCCCCAGAATAATGCAAACGATTACGTCATAATAGGGTTTCCATAACGTTCAACTACTGAGGTTACAATAAATGATACAACTTGGTGAAAAACAGAACAACAACTTGGCGATAAACGAAACAACTTCGCGATAATACAAGGGGTACCTTAAAGTCAACTCTACCCGAATCCATGTACACAGCGATATGTTTTAACTTAAAAAAAAAAAAAAAATCGGTACAACTCTATTATACACCCTAATTTCACCAAATGTGGCGATATGCACTGGTTTTTGGCACGATTGCGTGTTCTATGGCAACCCTGTTGACGTTGAAAAATCTTTCGCTGGAGCTCGTTGGTTCGCCTCTGTGTCTGAGAAGATGGGAGGGAAAGATAAAATGGTAGTTGTTGAATTGAAGTTCGGCAAAAGGAAATACAGTCAAAAGTCGTTAATCCGGATTCGTCGGGACTTCGGCGATTCCGGATTATCGATTTTTCCGGAGTATAGATCATCAGTTTAAATCTGGTAAGATGGCATGCAGAAATTATAAAATTAAAAATATTAAACCGTAATTTATGAAATAAAGAACAATTATGAAAAAACATAAAGGGTATCAAAATTTACAAAAAAAAAAAAAAAAAAGCTTAATATTTATTTATTTACTTTATTAAACATTTCTTTCAATGCAAGTTGTTTAAGTTGCTTCGTTTTATGTGATAATACTTTCTCTTTACTTTATCGGAAGCGAATTATAATGACGAGGAATTTGATTTAAATCATATCAAAGATGGAGTACATCGAGATGAAATACTACATTTAGTAAGGAATTATAAGGCAAATAAAATAAAAACATCTGTCCTGAAGATAAGGATAGTGCTGACAGATTACCTTTCAATTCATTGCGCGCCGCGGTGTTTCGGCATTCCCCCCCCCTGGGCCGCAGAGCAGCGTGAAACTGATAAACAGATTTCGGAATGGTTTGAGAAACGAAGGATATGCCTTTATCCATTTTTTGCAGCAATTCCACTTTTGTTTAATGGACTTCTAAACATACTTTCGCTTTGTAGATCCTTTACATATTCGGAAATTCTATTTAACATAATCGAAAGTTCAAGCTTACTTTTACAAAATTGCTCTAGCAGTCTGCAAAAAATAATAAGCCGAATCCAATTCGAAGATTAAGGAACAACGCAATCTGCAACATTAACTGAATTAGATAATTTTAGCTTAGCTTATACCGTCCGTTATACATTAAACGTGCAAGCGTGAATGTATTACGCGCATGCGCACACGCAAATTCGCAGCCTTCTTACGCCAACGCATGCGCAAAGTAGCTTTGAGGTCCGGATTATGGGTGTTCGAATTAACGACTTTTGACTGTATCATTGTGGCTATCCTGTTGAGGGGTAGTGGGTATTTGGAAGTGTGGAAAGAGGGTCTGGGAGATTATTTTTAATGGCAGTGCATGATAGAAGTAGGGATTTGTGATTTTATTTATTTGTGAACCATAGTATAAATTTTCTGGATAGTGTGTCTGGCTGTCATGTAAATACGATAGTGATTACGTGGCGGCATGTTAAAGGCGGTATGAAATTTATATTTCTGCTATTCGAAAACGCATTAATTCATGGTAAGTGCATTTTATTTTATCCTTGTTCTTATTTTGTAGAATGTTATGTTCATTGGTTCTTTAGTATGAATTTCTGTCGTTATTGTTTTTTTTTTTAAATTGTTTGAAATTTATTTTAGTTTATTTTGTTGTTTAGTGTCTAGACTGTGCAATTCGTAGATGTTTTTTAAAGTTGAAACAGAACGCTGTGTACATGGTATTATTTGAAATTTATTGTTGTTATGTTATTTTATTAAAGCGAGGAGTGCGTAGATCGTAGATTCCTTCCTTGCCTAAATTGTGCAATTCGTAGAATTTTTTTAAAGTTTAAACAGGATGCTGTGTACATGGTATTCTTTGAAATTTATTGTTGTTATGTTAATTTATTAAAGCGAGGTGTGCGTAGTTTGTAGATTCGTTCGTTGCCTACATTGTGCCATTCGTAGATGTTTTTTTAAGTTAAAACATGTCGCTGTGTACATGGATTCTTGTCAAATATTTTTGGTTAGAAACTTTACGTTTTTGCTATCTAAATTTTTTGTTTTTGTTTCGGATTTTTAGCTAAATTGTGTGTTCAAAACGTAGTTTTTGCATGTGCGAAAACCGCGTTTTTGGAGACATTTTAGGCTAAAAGTTCAAAATGTAGACAAAAAATTTAGATAGTAATATGGCAGCGTGAAGTTTCTCGCCAAAAATATTTGGCGACTTGAGGGCGCATATCAGAGTAGTTCCAAAAAATCTATGAATGCACAATCTAGGCAACGAACAAATCTATGAACTATTCAACAAAATGCACCTGCCATGAATTAATGCTTTTTTGAACAACAGAAATACCAATTTCATACCGCCTTTAACATGCTGCCATGTAATCACTATCGTATTTATATGACAGCCAGGCACACTATCCAGAAAATTCATACTATGGTTCACAAATAAATAAAATCACAAATCCCTACTTCTATCATGCACAGCCACTAAAAATAATCTCCCAGACCCTCTTTCCACACCTCCAAATACCCACTGCCCCTCAACAGGATGGCCACGATGATATTTCCTTTTGCCGAACTTCAATTCAACAACTTCTACCATTTTATCTTTTCACTCTATCTTCGCGAACCAACGAGCTCCAGTGAAAGATTTTTCAATGTCAACAGGGTTGACATACAACACGCAATCGTGCCAAAAACCAGCGCAGAACACATATCGCCACATTTGGTGAAATTAGAGCGTATATCAGAGTTGTACCAAATATAGATATTTTAGATTAAAAAGTATAACCTCCGTTAATTTTATTATTTATTAAAATATTTGATAATAAAATGCAGTTAAACATACTAAACATTATTCATAAGTAATAGGAATACTCATAATTTTAAAAATAAATAAAGGTGAATAAATTTTCATGCAGGCAGCTACATTTTATAATTTTTATACACACTAAATACAAAAACAGAATTATTAAATTTCAACCGAATTATATAAAATTTTGATAATTTACAAGCAAAGAACACCATATATAGTCCTCAAAGGTATTTCGGCTAATCTTTGGAATATGGTAACAGGTAGTTTGGCGACATTTTGGTAAGGCGATAAAGGTTACTAGCTAGGACTTTAGCAATAATCTGAGAAGTACACAGTTCCAATCACAGATTATTTTGTCTCAGAGAAATGAGAGATCATGTGACATTTATGGACAAATCAGAGTTCTTTAATTCAAAAAGAGGGGAAATTTGCAAAAATATCTGCAGTACTTCATACCATTTTGTATGTTCAGCTTCATTCCATCTTGTATCTTGTGTGAAACAATGTTGCTTAATATTTGGATCCCATGGCCCTCTCTAAAGTAAATTCCAAATTTTTATTGCATTTATGTGATCATCCAAAAGAGTTACTTGAATGATGTATGAGTGTAGGATTAATCGCAGATAAGTACGAATGTCCAACACATGGGAATGAAATGAGATTGTGTGAAAGGAAGGATATTACAGATAAGTTTGAATGGCAGTGCAAGAAATCTGGTGAAAATGGACATTTTGTGAAATGGAGTGAAAGGAAGAGTACCTGGTTTGCTGAAAGTCGTTTGAGTAAGCGTAATTCGGCTAGCAGAGTGTTGGAAAAAATGTTGAGTAAAAAAAAAAAAAAAAAAATGCCTTTACTTTATGAAAACAAAATGGCATCAAAAAAAAAAAAAAAAAAAAAAAAAAAAAAAAAAAAAAAAAAACTAGCTGGTTGCTGTAGCAGGGTTGGTCACCAAATTTTCGCCAAGTTACCATAATCCGAAGATTCACCGGTATTTCTTATATTTTTTAATTAATAACTTATGCTTATACTTTGGCTCTGAAACATCTAAGATAGTTAAAAAAATATTATTTCACATAATTTGTTTCATACAATATCCATAAATATATATAGATAAGATATATAAAGCATTTACTTCATGATACTAAAACACTTACCAACTTTTAGTGTCAAAGATATCTTTGGATCTGGCTTGGTCTCTGTCTTTTCCATGCTATTTGAAAGATTCCAATTCTTGTAAGTCCTGTAATTTAATCTATGAAAACATTCACAGAAAATTATTCAAAATGTTTCTCAGTAATACATTTCAACATGAACAGATATTACTCATTCATTTAAGAGGAAGAGAATTAGTATCAGACTGCAACAATATTAATTGAAAATATACAAGATAAATTTTGAGAAAGTTTAATATTAATAAAGTAAATGATTACTAGCACACCCCATTTTTTTAAATAAATTAATATCCAATTTCAATATTTTTTTTCAAGTATATGTAACCCAGCTAGGAATCCTCAAGTTCTAAAATAATGTTTAACCCTTGAAAATCATAAAACTTCCTGTGTTTTTTTAGTATTAGAAATAAATTAGGTACTGTTCTGTTATCATGACCAGGTTCAGAAATATATGCATATACATATGTAAGCACAAATGTATGTGTGTGTATACATATAAACATACGTTCATACATTTCTGAATCTGGTCCCGATAACAGAACAGTACCATAAATTACTTAGGATAAATCCAAGATACATTTCACAAAGAATTTTTCATTTTTATTCTCATTTACTTTATAGAACATACTTTTTTATTTAGAGCAATCTAAATAAAGATGGAAAGCTGGCAAGTCTAATGTGTAAAACAAAGACTGGAGAGGACTGCCAAAATTTATTTACATTTCATAATATATACAGAAATATATTTTTATGGTTTAGGATTTGGCTAAAGTGCAAAATCGGCCACTTATTTCATTGGTGTTTGGCGCTTTTTACAAGAGTAAGAAGAATTGAATTTTTGTACATTTTCTTTGACCTTTTTAAGTGAAAATAGGTCAATATGTACATGGATAAAGTCAAGGGAGTGCGCAATGCCATTTTTGTAGAATTCTGGGATTTTTTTTTAAGTGAAAATAGGTTGATGTGTACATGGATACTGAGCATGTGCAATTCTTAGAAACGCGCCAAGCAGTGGGCGATTCTGCACTTTCCCCTAGGTTTCTTGCATCTAATACTTCAGAAACGTGTTTATGATTATATACTACTGATATATAAATACTGCTTATGATTACATTTTAAAGCAGCAGATACATAATATAAAGATTTTAAAATAAATCACAGTATATTAGCACAAGATCCAGTCTTTCTGTAAATTAACTTGCAGGTGTGTTCGATTCTCAAGCCTTGACTTTGTTACAAGGTTATACTAGTTCAGAAACACTGCAACTAGAAAACTGAAATTCAATCAGTCATCTAAATTTATATAAAAGCTGATTAATGAACTAACAATATATTACAGAATGAAAAAGGAATCAATTTTTCCAGATAATAAATTTTTCCTAAAGTTTCCTTGAAGAATTAATATGTGTTCCTCCATTTAACAAATGTTCAGTTTTCGCACCCTATCCAAGTGCATCAATTTTGAGCGATTTTCGAGCGTTTTTTTTAAAATTAACATTGATAAGTTATTTTGATTATGATGTAGCACAGGAGACCTAGCTGTTATTTCTCTAGTCATTGATTATGTGAGTATGTGAACCATTAGTACCATGCCATAAGACTGGCATCATTTCAATTTTATTATTTTTTCTTTTACGGAAAACTGTCAGTTGATAAACATTCACGTTATGCATCACATTATGCATTATATTAATAGCTAAGAAATTAAAATTTCTCTCAGCAAAATTAATGAAATCACATACGATATAAATAAAATGCAAATTTCATTACAATTAATGCTAAACATTTATCTTAAATAATAAAACATGGAACTAATAATTACTGTTTGCTGACGTCAATAATAAAAGAATAAGCTGCTGTCACTCATTAAACAACCTCCTTAGTAATACAACACATCACGAATTATATATCCTTCATTATATAAAACGATAAAATTGAAACAGTTAATGGCGCCCTATAAATGATATAAAAAGGTCAGTTATATACGCAAAATAAATAACTTCAAATGTAAACATGGCAAAAATGAATATTTTTGTAAATTTCACAAGTACTGAACAAATCAAACATTGCGCGTTTTTTATTCACACACATTGTGTCTATTTACCACTACCGCCCTCTAGGCATGATGTTTGGCATCCTTTCAAGTATCGTTTAGAAACGTGGTGAAAGGCAACAGCTGGTTTTCCTTTTGTATTTCGCAATTCATAGACCATTACTTACAAAGGGAGACTGGACTGAACTATATCCATTAGTACAGGAAGTCTCTCGCCCAGCTCTTACCTGATTTGTAATGCGTATACAGCCCCTGAAAAGCGCCATCAAAACAAAACGAGTCGGACAGGAATAAGCGCGCTGAGGTAGATGGCGTGAGGTGAGAAGAATAAGCTATTCGGTTTTGGATTCGCGGGGAACAAGTTTGGAACAAGCGCGTAGTCACGGGGAGTGCTCGTGCGCACCCCTCTCCCCCCCCCTACGTCACCCGTCTATTAACAAAAAAGAGCAATTTTGAGAACTTCAAATGAATAAAAATTACAAAAATAGTTTTATAGAGGCAGTTTTAAAGTTTTGATATACTGATTTCCTTTCTGGTATAAATTATTAAACTAGCATTAAACGTAAAGCTCAACAGCTTTCTCTTAGCTTTGTAAAAAGCCGAATGCTTGTAGTAGAAGCTACAAAAACTAGATATGAAACAACTCTTACACTTCCAAAAAATTTTATCTTGGTAAAAGGGAAGGGTCTTCATTTCATACTCATGCGATGTTTAGAACCAGAAAAACTACTGTCATTTTTAGAGGCCCACCAGCGGCCGAGCGGTAAAAAGTCGTTGAACGGTGGTAGTTCGGTGCGAGGTTCGAATCCCGCGAATGGGCTGGCTGCATGGGCGGTTTCGTGGTTTTCCCCATGTATAACGTAGACACGAGCCAGTTCCACTTAGAGAGTCCTCCACGAAGGCATCCCTCCTCTTTGGCAGATAGCCCTCGAAGCTTTGCCGTAATGACATAAACCAAATCATTTTTGTAGTTCTTTGGGCCCTGGGCACCTTTTTCACCTTACTGCCTTTTAAAGAAATTTAACATCAAAGCATTTCATTTGATAACTTACTACTTGGTATATCATAAGAATTTTGAAAACGAAAGAGACATTGCATTTCGCCTACTTTTCTGCTAATTCATTTCTTTTGCGTTAAATCGTATTTCAGTTTCAAATATAAGGATTATATATATATGTGTGCGTGTGTGTAAGATAAACCTGGATTTCCTTAGTTTGTTTCACACCTGGCGATTAATGACGTATTAATAAATGACGTATTAATGATTAAACTTGGCGTATTAATAAACAGCACATCTTTCTTCGTTAGAGCAATCGAACAACAGTGAAATACAGTTCATATAAATTTAATCATGTTTAGAATTAATTGTAATTTAAAATTAAAATAAAAGATACAAATTAGTTTTGTTACACTCTTTCAAGCACGAAATTATCCAACTATTGTAGCGCAAAAATTCACATGGATTTATGACTGATTAACAATAAACTGTTAATCATTTATACTTAATCATGTATTTAAGACTGATTAAAAACAAAGATCTTTCACGCAGATTCACTTAAAACTGAGATACAGCAAGCAATACCTTGCATAGCCTGGCTAACCAGTTCCGCCATTATCTCACACTGTTTGAAATTGGATTAACTGAAAAATGAATGCATTAAAAAAAATGGTAATAAATTCCTCTCCCCCCCCCAAAAAAAAATATATCTTTTTTTCTTCAGTTTTTCAATAAATAAAACACAATTTATAAATTCAAATGTCTTTATTATGAATATTTTTTAAAAATGCACGTTTATCGTAATTCACATCTTATTGTCTAAAAATTTCAATATCAATATCTGCAGATGTTTCTTTGGCCTTTAATAATTTCTCACAGTCATTTCTCTGTAGCAAAGAACTGTACCGTTTAATGTTAAATAATTGTATATTGCCGCAACTAGATGAATTTCAAAAGTAAAATAAGAGTTTGTGGTTAAAAAGAAAAATTTCAAATTAACTGACAAAGATTTCCTAGTTTTTTTTAATTAATTAATGTTACTTTTTATAAACAAAAATAAATCATTTTCAATGCTGTTATCCCGCAATGAGAGAAGTCCATTTCTACGCTATACAATTAAACTGTTCTACTCTGCACTGAAAATATTTTATTCAGTTAGAAAATCAAGTATTTTTAATGAATTCTCATTTTTATCTGTTTATAATTGCATAACTGACAACTGATTTTAAAACTAGTATACGCAATTTAGAAAATGATGTTATAATCTTTATTATAACAAAAATGGCTTTTAGCTCAAGTTAATAATTTTGCTGTGTTTTGAAAAGTAAAACAGTAGAATTTGTTCTACTGTCAATTCATACTCAATTCTAGAGAAAGAATAAAAACAAGGGGACAACGACAGCGTGAATTCCAAATTACTTACTGAAAATACGTTTAAAATGCTATTAGCTTGTAGAGTCATTAAGGTTTTTCAAGCAGGAGACGTGAAAAATGTGCAGTTCTCTCTCCGGTACTCGAACACTGGACCTCTCGAAGGCGCATCGAGTAGGCCACAAGGCATTAGGAAAAAAGGGAGAAAATAACGACAGGGTGACCAAAATGCAGAGGGTTAGGTCGCAAAAAAATTTCATTATCATATATAGTTTGTTTCGGTCACTGTTATCTGTAACTATTTAATTAAATAAGATACATTGTTAGAATGTATTCCTAACGTATATGTCTTTTATGCTGTACCGATAGTTAATGTATATTCTAAAAATAATTTGTCTAAAGTCCAGAAACAAAATTTTCTATCTTTTGTTTATTACTTCGACAATTTCATACGCTGTACGCATTTTGAAATTATTATGTGCATAATAATGTTATCAAAAATTAAGCTACTGTACATATAAACAAGCGTCTTAGCGCGAAGATATTTTCATTCAATTTTAATTTTGAATTTCGTAAATAAAACTACTACTTATTACAAAGCAAGCCGCACGCAGCGCTCTAGACTGCTGGAACAAATTTTGATGAATTATAAAATTTTCCACCACACCGCAACAATTTTCGTATTTTCAGTTCGTTTGTTTAACAGCTTATGGCAAAGCAGTATTTGCCTAAAGGGATGATGCCATGGGGGGGGGCTCTTTTAAGGCAAACTGGCTCCCATTCACGTTACGCATGCAGCAAAGTAAGAAAACTCCCATACAAATCAGCTAATTCGAGAGCTTCGCATTTTCTTAATGGTGAAAATTTTAATAAACTGGAATTGAGTTTTAGAAACATTGCTTTTGCAAAATGTGTACAAAGATAAGTCGATTTTATCCCTTAGAAAAATATTTTTATTAACTTTACTACTCAGTCGTTTGAGTAACTTTCTCATTCTTATTAGAATGCTTTACACTAATTAATTAAACGACCTTTTATATATATCCTTACTTTTCATGTATAATTTCCTTTTCCCGAGATAGATGAGTTCGAATCAATCTTCCAAAGTTCAGTTTTAGAAATCTTTTTTTTTTTTTTTTTCTTTAAAAAACTATTTTCAGAGTCTTTAAAGCTTTACATTGATGCTAATTGCTAATGTATCAAATACGAGATTGAACTAAAAAGTCAGAATGCAGCCATTAGTCATCCATGTTACACTGTTGCTTCATTTAATTTTAAATAATAATAAGTCATAACACATATCAAGGAATCAATATTTATATTTTTTTCTTTAAAATTTAATTTAATTAAATAACCGTCAATTAAAATGAAAATACCGTCTACCAAGAATAGAATTGGAAAGCTTTACTGTTTAAAGTCTTACCGTTTTTTTAAATACGAGTAGTATATCGAAGACAGAAATACCAAGCTAGCTGAATAAATTAATAACTTTTAATACTTATTAAGGATGGGAGTTATTTATAAATGCACATATTTCAGTTTCCCTTTACTTCATTTGTCGGGATTTTGAAGTCAAAATTACAGTAAAGAACATTCTCCAATTCAAGTTTAGTTCAGTACTTAGTTCTTAAACACGATCAAGTCTAAATAAATTATATATTGTACGCTGAGTAATTTCGTTTAAAATATGATCGAACGGAGAAAACGTTCAGTAGTCTGCTCCGTGGAAGTTAGTGTACTAATTAGTATGCTAATTTCGGCAAACGGTAGCCAAATTTAAGCCAATTAAAGACGTTGGACTTCAGAAAAAGTTAACGTCCGAATAAGGCGGTCAAATTTGCGAGGTCTTGGCTGAGATGGGAGTGTTTATTTCCTTGCAGCCTACTTGGTTTCCCACTCCTGCTTGGGAAGGAAGAAATTTCGGCTCAAAGTACACGATTTTCCCTTTCGGCTAATCTTCCACATGATAAAAAGCCACCAAACATCGGAACTTGAAGTCAACATTTTGAGAACTGAAAACTCTCTAATCGAAACCAAAACCTTCTCTTGGTGAGCTTTCATACTGGGTAATCGCACACTTTTCGCACACCCTCCGTGCCGTATAAACGCTATTTTGCTGTGCTCTCTTTCTATTGCAACAGCATCAATGTAATTTTTTTTTGAAATAGGCCCGATTAAAGTACCGAGTGAATTGTGGCCGCAAATGGTAATTTAAATAAAAATGGAATTTAATCCACCTGACTACCAAGTTTCTTAGTTATTACAGATTCAACATCTTAGCATTCTACGCGATCAGAATTCTTCCTCTTCACTATGGATTTACTATGTGCTATGGATTCTACATGCTACGTTAACAACATTACTATGTCTTTTTTTCTGCTTTTATCCCTTCCCCCCACATATACATATATATGTTACAGTTAAATTGTGAATTCCATTATTTCTTAGAATAACTAGGTGTTTCATGAAATAACTAGAAAATTCAGTTAAAGTATATAAAATTATTGAATTCTACGATTTAACTAGGTATTCTACAGAATAAACGGTTACTTGATCGTTAAATTATGAAATATGGCACTTAAAAGTTCTTTGAACCGCCTATAGCTGCTTAGCAATGATATGTCTGTGTACGCTTCA